CAGCCAAGTGGTTAGCGTGTCAAGTTACCGTCCTGCACTGTTGCGGTTCGAATCCCACTGAGGGTGTTTATAATACCAATGCGAGGTCGAAACTGCAGTCCATCCCGGATGAGAACAACTTTTGGGAAAATAAGGCTATGTGAAATTTAATGGAAACGAAACAGGAAACCGCATTAATCGATTTTACTTTAAAGCAGAATTGTAATTGCCGTGCCTTGGTAATGGTAAATATCATAGTAATTTATAAATGCAGTATATTCGTAAATAAACAAGGCGCATCGGTTTGTATTATCAGTTAATGAAAATTAATCCAGTCAGCCTGGTGGACACAACCTGGTAAGGTAAGTATATCAGCAGTATGTTTAGAGAAAAATGAAATGGAAACAAAACCAGGAACATTGCAAAACCAAACTGACATAAAATAAAATAGAATAAGATGCCGCATGCTAAGTTAGGATCCTAGCATAAAGAATAACTAAAATTTAATTTAATTAATAAGGAGTGAGCGAGCATCAATAGAAAAAGGAAAAACAAAAGTGAAATCTATAAAGGTTTATTTGTTCTGTTATAGGATATAGTCCATATAGCAGCGGCTATTAAGTGATTCAATATTATTTTGAGCTAGCATGAACTAACGAAAGGCTAAGATATAAAAACCAAGATGATGTGGCCTTTTGTGTGGTCGCAGTCTCCTTTCTTTGCATAGATGTTGTTTGACCTTGTTTTCGCAACTTTGTCATATTGGTAGGAAGACTTAGAGCAACGAACCTAGTTCAGTATCCATTGTATGCATAATAATTTCCAGTCGGATCGTAGACGTGCAACATTCGCAAACGTTTCGCCGGCCTCGTCAGAAAGTCTTGCCATTCTTAGCACCACAGTACAACTTTTCAGAGACAAGTTAAGCCAATCCTTTGACCAAACGTGTGCTAAATAATTGTGGTATCTCTCCTTCTGTCCTGGGCTATTCAAGGGGTGAGAAAGCCAGCGTGGAGTGTGGAGGGTTTTCATGAATACCACTCAAAGGAGCACACCACACTACGTCTAAATAAGCACTGCAAAAATTGTAACAGTGAAAGCGTGATTCGAGGATATAGGAAATGTGAATAGCCCAGGGCAGGAGAGATACCGCAAGTGTTTAGCACACGTTTGGTCAAAGGATCGGCTTAACTTGTCTCTGACGAGTTGTAGTGTGGTGCTAAGAATAGCAAGACTCACTGACGATGCCGGCGAAACGTCTGGAAATGTACCACGTCCACGGTACGACTTTGGAAATTATCATCCATACAATGGACTCTGGACTAGATGCGTTCCTCTAAGTCTTCCCACCAATATGACCAAGTTATGATAAAAAGGTCAATCAGCTTCTATATATCGGAAAGCGAGTTGATTTCTTTAAATATATTTTAGCTTTGCCATGTATATGAAGGTAGTTTAAATAATCAACTCATTTTATATTACGCTAGCCAATTACAAGAAAAAAGAGTCGAAGTAGGTAACTAAAACTTTTTTTGATAAATGAATTAAAAAAAGAATTTTAGTCCTTTTACACAAAATACGAAAATTTCATTTGTATTGGTACCCTATGTTTTAGCAGAAAGATTATTTATGTCTTCCCTAATTTTCTTTAATCTTTATATTTATTTGCACATATAAGTAGGGATATTGGCACAAACGAACTTCCTGAAAATGAGACAATTATACTACCCAATTGTCAGAGCCAACATGTAATCGATATTTACAGGAAAACCAGTCTATTTAAAATAATGCTTGAATGGAATTCTAAATAAATAAACGATGCGATCGTACAAGTACTAAAGAATAAGCACGGAATGAAATGTCAAATCAAAAGTATGGGGCTGGTATTATTTTGAGTGTTAAAGTAATACAAAAATTCTATCGGGTTTAACGATAGTTTTGGGAACAAAACAGTTAAGAATCTTAAGGAAATGTATTAGCGATAATGAACATAATCTAAATTGCCCGTTGACCTGCGCGTAAATGCATATTCTTAAATGATCTTAATCCATAAAATACGTTCATGTCAAAAAATACCATGCAATGATTATAGATAAAATATAAATTATTAGGATAGAAATTCATAAGCTTGCCTTCAGCGATTGATGCAAATAAACGCATTTTACTTTAGAGACACAACGATGAATCATGTCAAGTGTATAAAAGTTTTGATCTCCTCTGCGTTCAACATTTATTTTACGATAATCATCGAGCAAAATAGGGCATATAGCTTTTGTTGGATGCGTCATTAAGATGGGACCGTTATAGCCAACCATTTCAGTCATATATGGAAGAGCGCCACAATGGTCCAAATGAAAGTGACTGAGTCAAATTATAGGTTAAACATGACAAACCTAATTATCACACAATCAATATAATCAGTTAGAGTCGAATGCTGCGTTATATACGAGAAATCAGGAAATCTTCTCTAGCAAGACATGTGAACTAATGAAACCTACCTCATCATTGAATCCCATATGGGCACCACAGTCAAACATAATATTCTTACCACCAAATGAAACTAATATACAGCTCCTGCCTACATCTTGTCCAGCTCCTGCAGGATCAGAAGCAAGAATTATAAGCTACCTAGTGGTATCACGCGTATAGAACTCATGATTAACGATTCAAAATATGTAGAGAGCAAACAGCAGAGAAAAACAAAAATACACTAAACCTAAATTCTTATATATATCTTTAATTAAATCTTATTATTTTATTATTTAAGGTTCCAAATTGCTATAAAAGGGTTTAACATTTATAATAAAATTGTTTCAAATCA